CGCCGCCGCGGGCCGCCCCGCAACGTGCGGGAGCGCAGCCCGGCCCCGTCCTGCTCCTGCCGTCCTGCCCAGTCCTTGTTCTGCCCTGTCCCTCCCCGCGTCCTGACCCTGTCTTGTTCCTGTGCTCGCGCTCTCCCTCTCTCCTTTCGCTGTCCTTCCCTGCGTCTCTCCCTCTTCCTGTCCTTTCCAGTCCTTGTCCTGCCCCTGTCCTTTTCTCTGCCCCTCCCTGCTCTGTCCTTTTCCTTTCTAGTCTTTGTCCTCTGCTGTCCTGTCCCTCTCTCCTCTGTCCTTGTTCTGTCCTCTTTCTCTCCCTTCCTCTCTCCCTCCCTCCCCCGCCCTGTGCCTGTCCATCAGCACCCGGATCTGTCCATCAGCAACTGGATTTGTCCATCAGCGCCCAGATCTGTCCCTCAGGACCCAGCTCCGTTCATCTGCATCCAGATCTGTCCATCAGGACCCAACCCTGTCCATCAGCACTCAGATCTGTCCCTTCAGCACCTTCTGTGGGGCCTCCATGCCCTCCCCCTGTCTTCTTCTAAGCACTGCCCAGGGAACCCTGTGCCCTTGGGTGGACCTTGGGGCTCTTGGATCCTGCCAAGTCCCATGGAGAGAGTTGGGAGGTGAGAAGGTCCTGCCCACTTCAGATCACAGAGAGCCTTTCCTTCCCACACTGGTATGAATAAGAGGAAGTCTTCTGCTGTCCCACAGCTGCCCATGTGGGCATCAGCCTCTGAGGCAAGAGGAAATTTAGGGGAGAATCTGCAGTTTCTAAGCCTCCCTGGGCTTCAGGGCACTCTTGTACAGTGACAAGAGGGTGACAGAGCACTGGAACAGGCTGCCCAGAGAGGTTGTGGAGTCTCCTTCTCTGGAGATCTTCCAAACCCGCTTGGACGCAGTCCTGTGCCACGTGCTCTAGGTGACCCTGCGTGTGCAGGGGGTTGGACTAGATGACCTCTAGAGGTCCCTTCCAACCTTAAGCATTCTATGATTCTATGATTCTATGACAAGCATCTAGGAAAAGCTTTGAGCTGGCAGGTGGTGCCCAAGCAGCACAGGGTGCCCGTAGCAGCTCTGCAGAGCTGTTTTTGCCCTCTGACAGTTACATGCCCTCTCCCCTCCCTGCCCACCCACACACTCCTTGCACTGTCTACACAGACGCAGCGCACAGCCTCACAGTCTCCTACACACCTACATGCTGCACCCTCTCAGCTCTGAGTAAAAGCAGCCCCGTCTTCCTCTAGAGAAGAGCCACTCCTGACAGGAGGAGGGGACAGAAGAGGGCTGTTGGGATGCAGCTCTGCCCTTGCAGAGAGCCAAAATCAGCACTGGTCACAAGTCAAAGAAAAGTGTCTTTAATCTGGTCTTAGGTCCAAGTTTTCCTGGTCAAACCCTCAGCACACCCAGTAACAGACCCAGCTTCTCCAGGAGTGACTCTTCTTTCACCTGAAGATGCAGAGCGAAATTAAAGGTTTCAGGGCTTAGTTTCCAGGGAGCAAGACCTGGAGCAGAGCGTGGCTGTGTTTGTCCTTGCATGTGCGGAGGTCGGAGGTCGGTGACAGCAACTGCATTCAGGGATTTTCAGAAATAACTTCTTTCTCCTACACCACTTTCATGATTCAACATTTCTGAGAAAGAGAGTGGCATAATAAAAGCAAGTGAAAATCAAGACTGTAGGCACTGGATCTGCAGTGAGAAACACCTAGGAGACACCTTCAGCAGAACTGGAGGGAAAGCTGCTCAGAACAAATCTAGCTTTCACTCCCACCTCCCTCATTCTCCTGTCACGACACCAGAGAATAGAATTCCTTCAATATTCCCTCAACTCATCAACTTAAAGTAGACTGAGCTTTGCAATAAAGGTACGTGACCCAGCCTGAAATCCGTCTTTAAATAATCAGACAGTGTTTTCTCCATATTTTAACAGCTTACATCAAAATAAAACAATTACACAGAAACCTTTTCATGTAATGAAAGATTCTGAGACTGAAGGGACTGCATCTCATGAAAGACATTAATTTTGCCTGCATAGAGCATCCTAAGATGTAGATAAAGGTACAGAAACAGGATGAAGAAAAATGAAAAACAACTTCTGTTTTCTAGTGGAAGAAGAAAAAATGGGAAAGCAATTTATCCCTGGTGTTCTCATTAAAATGCTCCTACAAACTGATGCTTATGGCTTGTCACTGTCAAAATACAGGCTTCATATTTTAGAATATAGCAAATAAAAAAAACCCCACCTATCTCTATGCTGCTTTGTCGATATGATGAGATGTTGGCAGGATAGGGAAAAACTGGGGATGAATTTGCCTATGCCTATGCATATGTATATATGTAAGAAAGATATGGGTAAGTAAGGAGAATAGCATAAGAAGAAAGGGAATAACTGGAACAGCAGTGAATTTGGAGCACACATTAAAAATAGTAAGATTTACTTCAGGAGTTTGAATTTTTCCCTCTGTAAAAACAACATCACGAGAGATGTTAAGCTCCATGGCATTCAGAAATAATATCCTCCTTTCCCACTCTGGGGAGACAGTTTTCCTGGACAGAGAGTCAAGTTGTGACTCAGAAGATGAACTGTTTCCCCTGTCCTGCTTTTCATCTGTAGACAAATGACTGCACCCATACGTAAGGATTTTCTGTCACTTGAATAGGGATTATGCTGCATACCTCTCTCTGGAAGACCTTGAAAAGCTAAGCATGAAGAATACATTGAAGAGCAAGCTTTTTGTTGTTATTACCTATGGTACAGTTGTTTTTCAGAAGTTACCACAATAAACTCCAAACAAACCCTCGTTTTCATTCTGACTTAATGCGGTTTAATCTCACTACTCCATCAGCCATTAAACGTTTTTTCCTGCTGGCCACCTGTGTGGTGGGGCTTTCCAGCATGAGCCCTTTCCTTAGCAAGTAGTTTGGGAAGACACTGGCATAACCTTTACAGCTGCCAGACAGCTGGTTCTTTCATCTTGTAGTCCCATAACCTGGCCACACTTGGTTATGATTACCAGCAGATGAAAATCTTCACAGTTTTATTCATGGATTCCTTAGTTCCTTGTGCTCAGCCATTTTAAACAAAATAAAATGCAGTTCCAGTGATTCCATGTTCTGATACACCCTGCTCAAAATCGTTCAAGGTCTCTCTTCAAATTGCATCTCAAATTATGTATCATTTCTTCAAACTCAAAATGTGCACTGCTTCAGATAGCACCATTAGTTTAGCATTCAAGATACAGCCGGATGGTGATTTTTCTCTGAAATGAGTGAGTTAGTATCTGCTATTCACAGTTATAGTTTGGCAGAAATTAATGTTCTCTGTGGTAAATGCAGTACTGCTTCCCTTAAATTAAGTAAAAGCCTCCTGAAGTTCTTGAGGGCTTTTTTTCTCCCCATTCCCCCACCCTCTTCCAGTTAGTTAACTTTCAGAATTCGAATACCATATCTGGAAAGGTTTCCTGTTTGGCAAGGTTAAGTTAGATGGCAAAGAAACATGGTGGGCAAGGTCTGACATCTTCCCTCAAGCAAGGAAACAAAGATGACATGGATGGCTACAGGGCTGCCTGCCTTTGTGCTGGCCAGGTCCAAATCTGCCTAGGTGGAGACATGAACACTGGAAGACAAAATTATTTTGGTCCTTACCTCACCCCAAGCTTTGTTGCACTGTTGAGTTTTCCAACCAACCTTTCTGAAATAGGAAACAAATACTAAGCTCCTATCCATAGTAAGGAGTGTTTTTCAGAGATCCGCTCAACCATCTATCCCAGTTACTCCACTTCCTTGCCCCAAGTGTACCTATTTCTTGCAGAACAGAGTCTCAAAGAACTCCAGTGATGGACACCTTCTGTCATCACCAGGCAATCCATTCGGTTTGTTATTATCCTCACACAATATGTGACTGTGTCTAACTTGAACGTCCTTTGCAGGAGTTCAAGGCATTAGTCTTTATCTCATGCCCAATGGATACACAGAATAGACAGGTCCTTTACTTTCTGCAGGCTTTTATATGTTTGGTAATTGGTACCATGTCTTCTGCAGATAAAGCTGCTGTGATTCCCTCAATCTTTTCCTCATGGGCTGTGCTTTGGAAACATCTGAAAGAAAGATGTCAGGCTTGGAGTATTCCTTTCAGTTTTCAGGCACATGAAAGATGAGGGACATCCAGCACTGAGGTCTGGAAGCTCAGCAGTATAGTTTTAGGTAGCTGGGGTTTAACCATTTCGGCCTAGCTTGTCTGTTGTGCTGTGCCAGTTGTGCTGGGGGTTTCAGTGAGGAGGGCACCCATTAAAAAGAGGAGAGCCGGTAACTAAACAGTTGACAGATGGTCATGACTTTCACACACTGTCAGGCATGTGCTGGATCCAAATTTGTGACTTAGGCACTGCTTCTGCACCTTCTTTTCAGCTTCCATCT